ATAGGTAGTGTAATGTACATATTTAGATTAATGTAGATGCTAGTGGGTGGAGTGGCATGTTTTGAGAACTCTTTTAAGACATAAACAATATTGATTAAATAGACTATAAAGTGTCATTTTTGTTTTATTAATTGAATGTAATGTTTGTGTGAGTCCCCAATTTGTATTATTATTATTATTATTATTATTATTATAGTAGTAGTAGTATTTGCACTGGGCCCATAAGATCCTAGATATGCGACTGTGTGACATACCTCCATTTTCCGTCATCGTCACCTCACGTCATGCAGTATCATGAAGCACATATGGACATCTATTCAATATTATTTAACAATTTAACATCATGGTTTAGGTATGCAATCTGCACAATGCTAATTGAGTGGCATATGACTTGACAACTGCAGTTTAAAACCAAAGAAACAAAGTTCAGATGCCAAACATTTCTTGGCTGATTGTCTACAGTTGAGATAATTAAATTTGAGTTTTGGCTAAACTATTGCTTAAATGTACTAAAAAGTCTTGAGTCATGCTTTATTAGTCTGCCTTATTCTTAGTTATGTGAATCATTTCTTGACTGAACTTGACTGAAATTTGTTTTTGATTATTAGGAGTGACAAGCATAAAGAATCTGAAGAGAACAACTCCATATAATGACTTCATGCTGCAGAGGAGAGGCATAGAGAGCTGGAAGCACTTTACACTGTGTTCTGCTGGTAATGACTCTTTTCACCTGTGTAGCAGATAAATGCCTGTAGCTGAGTGAGTCACGGTGAGAGAAAAGGCACAGGGTTTGGAATTACACTCCTCTCTGTTCTTCATGTGCATCTTACTCACACACAAAGACGGCATCCAAAACACACTGTATCCATCCATCGAACCAACAACACAAACACAGATTCATTAGCACACAGATCGAATTGGTCCTTTAACCAAAATGACACTTCTCAACAAGATGCATTGAGTGAATCGGAAATCAAAAACGCATTTTCTTTCCATAACGGGGTGGGAAAAGTGTGAAGTGTATCACGGAGAGTATCTGAGCTACCCAGGTGTTTTGTCTCAGTGATAGGTGGGGGGTGGAGGGAGGGGGAGGTAAAACATGATGGTAACGCTTGGTAACGTCTTTAACAGTCCCCCTAAGTTCTAGGTAATTACTTCAGTTAACATGTTGGGAAACTTCAAATTACACTGAAATGTCTTGGGGTAAAAAAAGGCTAAGTACCAAGTCAATAGCTCTTATTCATCAAAGTTGTGTCCAGTCAAATCTGATAATAAAATTTCACCATCAATTTTGTTATTCATCAATTCAGAATTCACCATCACATCTGGTAGTGTATGTAAAATTGTGTGGAACAGTTCAACAACCTAAAAAAAACCTTTTTGTGGTTAACTAACCAAAACTATTATCAATATACTCTATAATATCACTCATAGGAATGCTTTAACTGTTCTGTGTTACATTTAAATACATATTATACTGTGTTTTTTTTTATACTACACTTAAAAAATGGTTCTTCAAAGGTAAAGACCAATGGTTCTATGTAGAACCATGAATACTCAAAAAACCATTTGCATGCTGAAATGTTTCTTTGCGTGGTGAAATTGTTTTTCAGATTGATGGAGAATGAGTTAAAAATGATTCTATATAACACCAAAAAGGCTTGACATTATAACAACAGCAGAACCTTTTTGCTGCTATATAGAACCCTTCAAAAATGTTCTATAGAGAACCATCTACAGTACATACATACATCCATCAATCTGAACAACCATTTCACCCTGCAAAGAACCATTTAAGCAGGAAATGGTCCTTTGAGTGTTCATGGTTCTGTACAGAATCATTTGGTTTCATTAAAGAACCCTTGAAGACTCATCTATTTAAAGAGTCTAGTACTGACACTCCCCCCAAAAAATAACAATACAAAACACAGCTGGTGCAGAAATGTCTCATATGCTGCAATAATGCAGCATTTATATATGTTATTTTAGGAAAGTAATCATATTACCCAATCACATCATTCTACTGTCTTAAAAAACTAAGACATTTTGTTTATTTCACATTTCATTATTTCCAGTCATGGCAATTTTAACACTACAACAGCCTCAAACTCCATCTACAAGCTCAGCTATTGGCTCACGATCCACTGACTGCTTTCATTTCATTTGCTCCCCAGCGAATCATGTATATCATGTAAATGAGGTGCTGGTAGGCTTGCACTTGATTTTATGAACTGAAGCTCATGCATCATTTGTGCTCAATTTCTCCTTGTTTCCATGTCACACAAAAGTTTCATGAATCCGACACAGAGTAGTTTGTACATTGTTTAAAGTAGTCAAATCTGTGCTCTTTTTTACACAGTGTTGATGAATAAGGGCCAGTGTAACTAAATAGCACTGATATGCCTGAAATTATTTTGAGTAAAGAGTTGTAAGTACTGACAAATTTGCACAGAATTTCACTGTAATTGTATGTGCTTAAGCAGAAAAATAAATGGGAAAAGTCTCTAAATGTTAAGGACCCAGTAAGAACCACTGCTTTCTCTTACAGCCCCAAGTCAGTGTTGTTTTTCAGGCAATGTAAGATCTTATGATGTTGTTCATGTCGTGTGTTTCTGCTGTACTTTGCTGTGTGTGACATTACTGTGAAATTTGTTGAGAATGTATGAATTTATTACCTTGTTACTCCAAATAATGATCCAAATATGGAGGCACCATCATGTTACCCAAAATAACCACTTAGTAGTAATTGTATCTCACAATTACCCAGTTAACACCTAGAACCTGTCAGACTGTAAAAGAAAGTGTTAACAAAGAAAGTGTTAATACTAAACAACATCATATTATTGGTTACTATTACTTTTCCAGCCAGTGGTGCACAGTGACAGAATCAAATATCAGAAGATGTTTTTGAGGTGGGTAGAAGTCATTATGCCTCAGTCAGATCATATAAAAACAAGAAGTTTGCCTTTAAAATGCCATATGATGATTTATGCTTAATTTGACCAGAGATATGGAAGAAATAGATAAAAAAAGATACATATTGATTTCATATTGATTGATTTTTAAGTGAATTAGAATTATTTTTCAAAATATCCTACTTCTTGACAGTTATGTTCTTGTAGTGTATGGGAAGGTGTATGAGAAAGTATTTATGACTCTTTTACTGTTTCTGACATTGACCAATTTTAAATTACAGACTCCAAATTTACCAGAACTGATTCAGTTCATTCTGCCTCCAGGAACATCTGAATGTGAGAGGTCATGTGCATATGATTAGGAATTAAAGCAACATTATGTAGGATTTGGGGATCTGGAGACCTCTCTGGTGGAAATATGTAATTGCATGCAACATGCAGAAGAACATTTAGTTGTACACTACTGCTGCAGTCATTTAGTCAAATCATTCTTTTCTATATTATTATACTTAATATTGCTGCTGCCACTTTCATGTTTATTCTTAAAAAGTTAGTTTAGGTCTTGTAAATGATGACTCTGCTCTTCAGTTTTCTTTGGATTGCCCCACAACTTTCAGCTATGAAATTCTGGATATCTAGTTTTTTTAAAATATAGCTTGGATGGAATATCTTACAGCTAAGCTTAACAAGGCAAAACAGAAAACAATAAGAAACTGGGAGAATTTATATGACTCTATTCAAGAGCTTTAGTTTTCAATTATATTATGTGATGCTGTTTAGTTGTGTAGTTGTTTATATTTTGTCTTTGCTTTATTTTTGATTTGTGTGTATTCCTAAAATGTATGTCTCCGTCCTGCCTTCCCCTCCCCCTTAACTCTCTCCACCCTTGTTGTAAAACATGATGAAAAATGCAATAAAAAGTTGATCACAGAAAAAAGGTTAGTTTAGGCATGTAGTTTGCACACTACTAATGGACCAGTATTAGCTCCTGTTAGTTACTTGATTGATGAACCAGTATTAGCTCCTATTAGTTACTTGATTAGCTTCTATAAGCTACTAGTGCTGCTTTCGAACTTTTGGCCTGTGGTGTACATTTTGAAACATCACAATTAAAGCACTGTGATGAGAGCAACATAAAAAGGATCTAGAAATGCTTTGAAGGGTGTCATGGTGGTACACAGTGGTCAAGGCCCCACGTACCTAAACACAATAGAGTTTCAAGCCTTGAGGAGCTCAATAAAATTTCTACTACATTATCACTGTCTGCTTCCTGTGAGCCTTCAAATGAAGGCTGTTAACCATAGATTTGTCTCAAAGTGACAGCTGTAGCGGAGGTAAGAGAGACCTTGCTAGCTCTGGTATATGAAGCCTCCACTTCAGTGCTCATTCATGCACATTCAAGATGGCCTTAGCAAGCTGTATCGACACATCAAGGCTTACTAATGTAAGCAATGTGACACTTTCATTACACCTGCATTTCAAAACATTAAAATTTCATTACAAGCATTCATGCATCTTGCAGCTCTTTCCATCGTTTTTAAGCATTTTTCATAGGAGCCATAATATGCTATTTCTGTCTGTTTTACAGGATCCTCAGTTGAACTATGCAATATTTTTTTCTTATTCAGTAACATTAATGGAATATGAAGTGGATATATGTATGATTTACAAACTTGGAAGTGAAATTTTTGTCTTTGTAGTTGCAACAAGTTAACAATTATAAAATTATAGAAGTGTTTTTATTGTTTTTAAATGCTTTTTTCTTGTTGTAGTTGTACACAACTTTTAATACGAGGACATCTACAGTCACCATTTTATCTTGGCTTGTCTTTGTGGAGAGGTGTGAACTGTTTTCACAGCAGGGGGGTTTTACCCCTTCCCTTTTACTCCTCATTGCTCACTAGCAGCTTAACATAGAGTCACAGCATTTCATACACAGAGCCGACAGTGTCCTAATTAATCTGAAAACACAGGGAAAAATACAGGGAAAAAATATGTTATTTGATTATATTAACTAGAAAGATCAGAGTTAATTTCAGTTCTGCCAGCAGAATGGCCACTAGAAGGCCTGCAGAAAGAGGTTAAATGGTTTTGTGCTGCATGTGAAGAACTGTGGGTGAGTGAAGGATGCACCAGTCGAGTCCAGTTGATTTCTCATTCTCACATTCGAAGGATCCTACAAAACAGAACAGGCTTCAGTGTCGTAAAAGCCTTCCTCATCTGCATCTTTGGCTTGAAGACAGAGCCTTCAGGTTTTGAATCATGTAAGCTGAATGAATGTAAAAATTCAATTTCGGTCAATGTACAATCTCAAGTACATAAAAACACATAAGTTTACTTGAATATATACATTTGTTTCATTTCCAGGAACTTTGGAGTCGACCCCAATTCTGATTCCATGTGATAGTTATAAATGAAGTCGGATCCTTACAATCATTTTCTTGAATTACAAAAATGAAAAGGGAACATGGAAAAAGATCTGGCCTCATAAAAAGTACAGTATTAAGTACATAATATACTTTTATGATTTATGGTTTTAATGGGAACTTGGCATATTAACATGCGCTTCCACCTCCATTGCTCCTCAAGGACACAAGATGTCATTTTAAATATACTTAGTAGACCTCAGCAAGGCAATTTGGAGAACTAATTCTCGCTAAATGCACTTTGCTGACTATTGGGGGCTGTACCTGATTCCACTCCGCTGATTGTCACCTTCAGGCAGGTCCAAGCCATTTTTTGAGCGGACTCTCAATCCCAAATACCTGCAAAGAGAAAAGAGAATCGACCATTTTGGGATCAACTTCCAACCCTACTAAATGTAGAATGTTGAGTCTTTTTAATAAGTTAGAACAAGTTAACTTTTTTAATCAGTGATGCTTATATTCAGTTGCTATTCCACACTGACCTCCACTACTCTAACTCACAGTACACAAGTTTCAACTAACAGTCCAAACATACTTTCATTCTAGGGCGTTTGAATTCTTCACTTTTCTAAACTTCTCTAAGAAGCTGTTCAGAAAGTCAAACCTTCTCTCTTCAGACATATTGAAGGACGGAAAGTTGCTGGTGAAGTGCTCGTGGGCAAAGCCGGTGACATACGGACTCGGGCATGGGCGCGCACACACACACCCACACATGCGCACGCTCATGCACACACAACTTGGTCAGCACAGATGAGTTGTGGGAAAACAAGCAGCTGCAGGAGGAAGAATGGACCATAAGGCTCGACCGCTTGCCAAATTTCATCATCTATTATGGATTGCCTGAGAAGCTCGCTCCACTGCGACCGGGGCCACGCTTCTGAATCGCATGCAATCACAAATCGGTGCTCAACACCAAGATATTGGCGGTGCCTTTTTTTTTAGCCTGAGTGCGTTTATGCAGAATTAAACATGTTGTACAGACAGAATTAAGAGTCATTTGCATCATGTCAGTCTCTTGCATCAGACCACCCTATGGTTTCAAATAAACAAGATGGAGTGAATGTTGGTTTTGCAGACTGCTTTATGGTTATTCTTTTCAAGCTCATTCTGATCTATACAGTGTGAGCAAACAAGTATCCAACCATGTTTGTTTATATTTCCAGTGCATATATCTACTTCAAATTTACACATAATGTCTTTTGCTCCATTCGATTTTTTTCTGCATCATTTGAGCATTTAGGTGTAGCAGCTGCCCTTTACATTATATCAAAATTTCATGATTAATGGACCAAAAGAAATGCTCCAAAATTGCTTGGAATAAAATATCTTTACATTAACTTACATTTAAAGATAAGAGCACTGCCTTCTTCTGTAAAGCTACCATTTGGCAGATACTTGGGTTTTATTTTATTTGATAGGGAAAAAGTATTTAGACATTACAAAAGAACAACATTAGTAGCTTGATGCAAATGGCATACACTGCTATGGGATGTCTACACTAAGGGGTAAAGAGCTTTTTGAAGCATGGTGGTTTAACTTTGGCCCATTCATCTTGGCAAACCATCTCCAGTTCCCGAGGGTTACAAAGATCCTTCTAATGGGCTCGCAATTTCAACATCCTTCATAAATTTTAAATGGGATTCAAGTCAGAGATGCGCCTGGCCATGTATGCACTTCTTTAGAAAGCAGTTTTGAGTTATTTTGGCTGCATATTTGGGGTCAATGTTTTGTTGAAATCTTTACCTTTTCATATCAGATTATTAAAGTATTTAATAATATGTCCAGGTACATTCCCTTTCCTTTGATGACATGTAAAGCCCCAGAACTGATTTCAGAGAAGCAGATCTCATATCATGATGCGCCCACCTCCATACTTCACTGTGTGTATGGTGTTCTTAGGATCATACGCGCAACCCTTCTTTCTCCAAACATTACAAGCTGAATTATTGCCAAAGAGTTCTGTTTCTGTTTTAAGTTTTCCAGAACCTTCTCATTTTTCAACCTTTTCAGTCTTTTTCAGTACAAAGAACCATCACATCATGTAAAGATTCTATACCAATAAAGATTTTTCCTAGAATGCAGAATGTCCAAGCCAATCATTTAGGAGCATTTTTTTAGAGTGACTCACAAGTAGACGTGAGTGGAGTGGCCTAAACTCATATTAAAAACTATTGTTAGTTCAGTGAAATAATGACTGGAGTAGAAGCACAAAAGTAGCAGGTCAAAACTTGAGAAACTTCTACTTCTAAAACTACTAGTCACCTGAGCTTTTTGTATATCATGAGATGTACATTGTGAGACAGTTATTTATAGTAATTTATTTATAGTTATTTATAGTGGGACAGTTAATTATAAATGTAAATCCTTCATCTCCACCTTAAAAGAAATCAAAACCTTTTAAAACACTATAAAAAAGTAAGGATTATCTTCACAAACTGAAATTTAGGGGTTAGGGTTTGGGACAGCCACCTCCCACCTACCCCAATAAATGCTGATTTTGTATACATTTAGCTCATTACTATCTTAAATAATGCCTTGGGATTAAGTCGATCATAACATAATCTTTGTAATTATTTAAGGCCTGAATACCTTTAAAATGTCTTTATTGTGGAACTGCAGTTTGAAGTAATTCATTAGAGTGGTGCAAATAAAGTTATATTGCCTCCAGTGTCTGCTATGTAACCAGCCGCAAAGCAGTACAGATGCTGTCTGCATAATGGAATGAACCTAAACACAGTAAAGGAATTAGTAACTAAATGCTAATGACTGAAATGTAACTGAGTAAAACGTAGATCAGCCATGAAGTCACAGATGCACTTTAGAAAATACTCTAGTTATTATCTAGTTAATAACTAGTTATTATCCACCTCTGCTGGCTACTAAATCTGTCTAAGGACAAAGCAGTCACATGTCTACTGATCACATTTCTACTCAAAAATATCTTTATTTTGTTTTAGCACTTTTTTTAAGGAAAGCTTTTTTTGCTGTTCCCGAGGCGCCTTTATCCCTCATTAGTTCTGTTTAAATCCAAACATGGAGAGCTATTTTTGGACAGTACTACAACCAAGACTACAGGACTTGCACATGCAGCAAGGCTCTTAAACATAAACTTGAACATCTTCAACAAGGACGAGGCTGTGTTCACGTACCCCAAAAGGTGCAGCAGCAGCACGCCGTTGTGGGTTTCTACATCTTTCTTCCAGGGGACAATTCTGGCATGTGCCACCTCTACCTAGCAGTCAATTGCCTTGTAAATCACAGGGCCGGGGTAATAAAAACTGATTTGTATATCACCAGGAGTGGAGAGTGTGTCTGTCTTGTAAATTTAATTAAACAGCAGGTGCAAAATCGGGTCATATGGCTTTGATGTGCCCCATGTGAGAATGACAACCAGACAAAGATTCTAATATGGGCAGTATTAACATATTTTTGCATGGAAGCTCATATGCAGGAAAGGCTATCACCTGGTAGAGCACTGAACAAACACCCACTCCCACCCCCTCCTTCCCCCAATACGCAAAGAGAAAAAAATCAGACATGATTCAAATGAGCTGTCACCTTCAATTTTAATAGATCCGCACAAAAATAAACGTTTAAGCTCTTCAGAACAGTCTCCGCTAGCCTAATGTTGCATAAATACGCCTATTAGAGGCGTCTGTCCCACACTGAGACACTTCGGCTAATTATAGCTCCGCTATGAGGTGAATCAAAGAGAGCAAATTCATAAAACATACACAGCAGGGAAAAAAAGCTTAAAAATGAAGATATATGAGATTTAAAGAGCCTATAATCATAAGAAAAGCTAAATTCCTTATTTTTTTGTTTCAAAATATATCATTCACTCATCAGTCCATACTGTCCATATATGGGATCTATGCTGCATTCATTACTTGTGATGTCACAAAATACATTATATATCCACCTATTCAGCCTACAGTGGTTTAGCTCCAGGCATTCATGTTGAAGTTATAAGGAGCGTTTCAGCCTGCCCTGGTATGTGGAATGAGGCACAACACAAGGCAGCCAATCAAAACAGAGCTCATTTACATACAGACAGGTGACAAATTAAAGAAAAACCTGCATAAATCACTGCAGAAGCAAAGAAAAGATGAGCATTCTGCATGATACAATGAAGCAGTTAGCATCCTACCATGAGGGAATGTCTTTTGGAGTTCCATCCCTCCAATACAGTTCTTGTACAGACTTCAAATCAGTGCGGAGGTGGGTAGAAGCCGTTCTGACAGTTCATTACTAAGAGATTTTGTTTGTTTTTCCTTTAATTTGTTTCCCTTCTATAAATCAGTCTAGGGGGTTAATTGGGCCTAAAATCTTTGTCCAAACTTGAATACAGCTCTGACTGGACCAGACCCACCTCATCACATTTTAATTCTGGAACTGATCCAAGTCCAACAGAATTCTGTCCAAAACTGACCCAAACAAGCCCATCAGTCCTTTTAAAAACCTAAAATGATAGCACTGGTTATTGGTCACTAATAGTCTCAAATGTTTTAGTCTGGATTAACTCAAGATTTTTGTATAATGCACAATAAACCAGATCAAACACACATCATAACAACATCAACAGACACAATCTACAAATAGTAATAAAGAGTCCCATACACTACTCAATTTTTCATATTACACATGGATGATTAAACTTTACATATTGTGCTGTTCTCACACTTTGCAGTGCAGCAGGATGCTAGTCTATTTGCATATAGAACACAATGCCTATAATATATTGAATATATGACATCAAAATACTTGACCAAACGACTGAAATATCCATTTGGCTGCACTAACCTGTACTCACCTGAACTGATTCACTGTTTATTTCCCATGTATCCATTTGAGCGTGGGCCTTGTGGACCTCAGTGTTGAATTCTGTCAAAAAAGAAGTTTTAAGATAATTAAAGTAAGCCTAAAGAAAAAAGTAAGGAAAAACCAAAGCTGGGCGAAATCTACAACAAAACAGTGGAAACTGACATATATTTAGAAAATGATGTCTGAACTTGATTGAACCCAACGTCATCAGTCGGGTCCCGTTGGGTTCAGATAAATCTTTCAAGCTCTGTCAGTGTTAGAAGTGCAGTAAATCTGTTTCATTCTAGGGGATAAATAGAGGTTGAAAAATGACCATGCAAAAATAAATTATGACGGCTTTTGGTATATAAACCCACACAAATGTAATGGATCTCAGAAAAAGACAAAACAAGAGCAAGAAACAAATGGGCCACTTTGAAATGAATGCATTTCCTATATATTTCTATTTGGAGCCTTTCCTTAGAGGCAGCCGCAGCACTGAAGTCAGCAATCATCCTCTTACTGGCTAGTGTGACCTGTGACTTCGGTCCAGGTCTCAGCCCCATAAGGCCCTGTTGATTTGATTTGACTTGCGAGACGTGTCAGAAGCTGACCTGACAGCAACACAATCTCGAGTTTTTACCTTCTCCTTTTCTCTTTCCGTTTCTTCCCCCCCTCCCTTTCCAAGGAGGTGCTGGATAATTACCACCTAGGATGTTGCCATCTGTGCCGCCCTTTCACGGTCTGTTAACTTGCCTCTCAAAAAGTTTTCCGGTGACAGGGGCCACGCATGTAAGAGGGTGCACATTCAAGCATCATTAAATTCGGCGCAAAAGAGAATAGGCCTACTTATGGCTGGGAGCAGCTCGGAGCAGTGTGTCGAGCCACGCCAAAAATAGACT